GAGGAGAATCTCACTGTTCAAGAGTATCTGCTATCCAAAGTATAGAGCGGACGACCTAAATAAACTCTATGATTTAACTCACTAGCAGCATTAATCTTTAAGAAATAGAATAGTGCAAACAACGGAGACGGAAAGGAATATCGTCAGGATAAAGTATGCGCCTCTGGGAGGTGGAGGTTCTGATGCCTGTGAGGAAGTCGGCAGGACGATTCCCTTCACGGATCATGTGCGAGATCTGAAACCGAATCGACCGAAGAGTGGCCCTAATACGCATGAGCGGATGATGAATCTGCCATGTACCCTGATGGTCAGTAGTCAAGAGATTGATAATAGCGACAACGTCCAACTCTATCCAAATGTGAGAGGAGATCGAGGCAACAATCTGAACACCGATCTGAAGCGTCTGAATCTTCGTGTCGTAGCTCGAAGAGGCCCGAAGAGGGGCATGGAAAACGATAATAAGAGTGCCGCTATGGTCCCTAATCAGACCTGCACCTCGAGCGGCTCCGATGAGTCGGTTAAATGATCCGTCAGTGTTTAGCTGAACCCAAGGAGGCTCGGGTCTCAGCCAAACAATAGCTCTGGGGCGTGGGTGTTGGACAGACGGCTGTGGCGGTGGTGCAAAATGATGAGGTGACGTGCAGACTGTCCAGTCTCTCGGCGTGAGTCTGCCCAGAGCGCCGAGGAGAGAAAAGTGTCTGTCAACCTGCAAAATAATATGGGAACACAAAAAGATAATATCCCTATGTTTCACATTATTCGTTTCTGTCCAGGTTGTCCAAAGGATCAAACAAGGACTAAGAAAGTCCACGTGTCTAGTGTGTGTGCTTTGTGCAAAAAACTCATAAGCTCAAAGAAGTTATCTGTGGTGGGTAAGGATATATGAGTGTAAGTGGAATAATGCTCTCACACTCTACTCACAGCCTCACTCTCAAAAAACAAATGGGTGAAGGTCTCACTTTTAAAGTCGTCGGTCTCAGCACAACAGTAACAACATGAGGAGAATGAGAACCCCCTCGCCTACATCACAGTGTCAATTGATAGGCGGCGCAGAAGAATGCGTCATAGAAAAATAGAGATGGTTGGGGTAAGTAGGTCGGTCCAGATGGCCCCAAAGAGAATGTTAGGCCGATCTCCCAGCCGTACTTCCCCCAAGCCGAGGTCGTAGAAAATGCACCAGAAGATGTAAGTCTCCACCTCATACCGTCCAAACTGTCCTCCGAGATAGATATTTGCTGGATCTCATTTGTCTCCTGGTCACTAAAACCCGCTCCACTACCCAGAATCATCTCGAACCTATCTGTATCCCAACATCCATCCATCCATAAGTCCTTCACTTGTAGAAATGAAAGTCCTTCACTTGTAGAATGAAAGGTGGGTGACATGTCTTAGTACTCGAAATAAAGGAAACCACGATTCATTTATATCTACATGTTTGCTCCATCTTCTAAAAACAAAATTCTCCCAAAATTCTCCCAAACTTGTTAAAAAAAAAGGAAAAAAATGCAAGCAAAAGTTATGGGTTCTGAAAACATAAAGCTCCCACTCATAAATTTATCCAACATTAAAGAACAATCTCCAACATGGGAGGTCGCGAAATCCCAAGTCCTGCAAGCCCTGCAAGAATACGGCTGCTTTGAGGCCACGTTTGATCGTGTCCCAATCAACCTCCGAAAATCGGTAATTGAAGGGTTAAAACAACTGTTTGATCTGCCTCTGGAGAACAAATTACGCAACAGGTCAAACACGCCCTACCATGGCTACGTGGGCCAATACGCCATGGTCCCACTCTATGAAAGCCTTGGGCTACAAGACGCACTCTCACCTGGTAAAATCAAGAGCTTCACTAATCTCATGTGGGCCCAAGGAAATCCAACTTTCAGGTACGTAAAATTTTTATCAAAAAATAAAATAAAAAAAATAAAAAATAAAAAAACTACTTTTGTCAAGACTACTCTTGAAACTTCTCATCATCATCTCCTTAATTTTGTCGATAGCGAGGCTATAGAAACATTTTCCGAGCAATTATCCGAATTGGACAAGATTGTGAGGAGAATGGTCTTGGAAAGCCTTGGGCTGGAAAAATACATGGATGAGCATTTGGGCTCAACTAATTACCTTGTGCGGGTCCAAAAGTACGATGGGCCTAAAACCCATGAACCTAAGCTTGGACTGACGGCCCACACGGATAAAAACATAGTCACCATATTGTATGGAAATGAAGTTAGAGGGTTACAAGTGCTGACAAAAGATGGGAAATGGATAAATGCTGAGCCTTCACTTAATTCATTCATTGTCATGATTGGAGACTCCTTCCATGTAAGTTTTAAAGTTTTTTCTTCTTTTAGGATGGTTAGTATTACACAATAATACAAGTTCAATTAATATACATATTTTTATATTTAAATATCATATTTTTACAACGAGCTTTCGGATGACACGAGATATTAATCTTCCATAGTTTTTTCACGAACAGTATATTCCTCAAGTGTTCGAAAACAACAACAACAACAACATAGTAAGAAAGTCATCTGTTGAGTGTGATATTTCGGTCAAATGTCACACTTTGAATTGTAATATGAACAAAAATTATGACATTCCATATACATTTTTTATAATAATAAAGAATGACTACCTAACAATTATGTAGCTTAACAATTCTATTTGTATATTTTTATTCAAAAATAATTTACTAACTTGTGTTTTATATTTCTTAACAAAAACTAAATTTAGTTATTGTGGATCAACATAGAATATGATATCAGTATCTACAATGTTTTGGGTCCACTCAAAAAATATGCATGTCACATAAGAAATATACTCAATCTATCAAAATATATACTCCAATACAAGTGCAAGTGGATAGAGTCCTGCCTATGTGGCAGTAAGAAAAAAGAGATTCGGTCCATTCTTAATTCTATTTAGACCCAAGTGAGGACCTAGTTTATTTACATTGGAGTATAATTTGTTACCTTTATATATTTTTGTCCATGTCATCCGAGATTAAGGTCTATTTACATGTCACATAAGAGCATATGCAATGCTTTAGGTCTAGTTTTCTCTATGTGTAATGTAAATGAACTTAAGTCTTGGATGACATGGACAAAAATATATAAAATTAACAAAATCTACTCCAATGCAAGGAGACTAGGTCTCTACTTAGGTCTAAAATGGACTTAAGGTTAGACCGGATCTCTTTTTCTTGCTGTCACATCAGCAAGACCTAGTCCACTTACACTTGCATTGGAGAACATATTTTTTTAGGCTGAGTCTATTTCCGAGGTGACATTCAATTTTTCTTGAATTTGTAGGCATGGACAAATGGCCGACTGCATTCACCGTACCACAAGGTGATGATGACCGGAGATGAAAATAGGTACTCGATCGGATTGTTTTCGATCCCAAAATCGGGTTACATAATTAAGGCCCCAGATGAGATGGTAGATGAAGATCACCCATTGCTTTTCAAGCCATTTGATCATATTAAGTTTCTTGATTTTTATTACTCTGAAGCTGGTCGGAGTTCTCCAGCTGCCCTAAAGGCTTATTGTGGAGCCTAATAATGAATATTTATGTTGCATTTTATTAGAAATATAAATAATTATATGTGAAGCATATCCTTTTATATGTATCCATTTTATGGTGTGCATAATTAGTCATGTACAAGTGTTTGTATGATGATATCTGATGTATGATACATGATGGTGAAAGTATGCTATAGAATAATAAATTTGTCTTGTAATTTTATTATTATTATTATTATTATTATTATTATTATTATTATTATTATTATTATTTTTATTATTATTATCATTATTATTATTATTTTAAATTAGCATTAGAATTTTTTATTGAGCATAAATTATAGGAATTCAAATGAGCATAAATAAAAATTTGAAAGAGTGTCAATTTTAATGGATAACATAAGAATAACTCGTATGAAGTGGTTGAAAAAAATTGCAAAAGCTACATTATATATAAAAGTAGTCACTAATGTTACGGAGTATAAAATAAATATTCTTGAAATTAAAGACTAAAGAATTATTGCATAAAGTAGATGAATAAAACCATATGAAAATTCTACTCTTCCCAACTATGCATATATGGATGAACACGTGGTAAAAAATTTCTAACTCGATTTAGTAAAAGTAAAATTGTAAAAACTAGCTAATATCTTTTTGTTTGGGTGACTGTACGGTTTTTATTTGGTTTCCGGCAAGTCTGATAACTTTTGAATAATTATTATTCGATATTATAAATTACGACCATTCTTTCGAAATTTGTAATCGTTAGATCATCATGTAACCGTCGTAGATAGTTGATCTAACGGTTACAAATCTCGACGGAATGATTTTGTAACAGGGCTATAGCATTTTCTATAAATTATTGGTTATTTTTTGCACGTAATAAATTTAATGGCTTCTTTTGCAACCGCCCAACAAATACGGGTTAATTTTTAAAATCTCACTATGTCATTAATTAATTAATCTATATAAAAGCATAAAAGACCGTATAAAGTGTACATACAAAATTTGACTCCTTGCCCTTCATTCATGCACCACGCAAAGATTTTTTTATTTTTTTTATTTTTTTATTTTAATAACATGATTTTTTTTTTATATTTATAGATGCATCATTCTTTCAATCATGAAAGCACCCCAAATTTTAATAGAAATGGTTTTGTATAAAAGCTCCAAATTTGTAGAAAAGGAAAACAATGTTAATTAAATAGTTTGATGAATCTATATTTTATTCTTATCTATATACATCATTATCAGGATTATATATAGTACGTCATTACCAAATTGATGTATCGATGATTATTCAAGTTTTAAGCAATTGGTGAGTTATTCCAACAAGAAAAACAAAATTAATTTGAAATTAAAAAAAAAAAATGGGTTGCATGAAATAAGAGAGTGTGACATTAAGAATTAATTAAGATTAAGGCGTTGGGGGCAAAAAAAAACAATTTTTTAACTTTAATTACGAAAGCAGCACAATTGTATATTTTTATTATTGTAATTATCTGAATGAGGATTTAATTGTCATGATTTGGAGTGATGTAGACTAAAGAATAATGTCATTACATTAATTATTTAAGAAAAGTATGGTGCTTTTGTGGTCCTTATATAGTCATGCTAAGTTTTTATTACAAAAATATATAATTGAAATCACAATTATTATTATACAGAGAAATAAAAATAAAAATCACCACTATGTTCAGAAGGTATGTTTAGCCGTTTTCTAATGTTGTTGCATTTACTCTTTTCCTTTTTTGTTAACCTTTATTTTTTTTTAATTTTGTGATATTTTATTTTAGAAAGAAAAAAAGTACATCCTACGAATTTGACGATTTCATTACTTTAGTTTTAGTGTACACTCGGCCCATAACTGTAGTCCAACCCAATGTTTAGGCCCATTGAGTCGTGGATTCCACAATATTTAGCCCAATATAAATGCTTGTTAGCAATGGGATAGGCTCACATTTGAACCCAATTTGTGGCTTGCAACTTTTTTTCGATTCGGGCCTTATTTTTACTAAATATTGCGATTTGTGCTTGCTAACACCAAATCTCTAATGTGATTATGTGAAGTGCCCCACCACACAATGATAAATATATTAAATAAAAAAAAAAAAAAAGGAAAACCTTTGTTCCGACCAGTTATTGTTTTCCAAGTTTGAAGACTCTCATCCTCACAAAAATTGCTTCTTTCCAACATAAATATATTCTCTCAAAGCATTTATAAATCTGGACATGATGCATTAAGTATTCCAACGAATAAGTTATCATTCCTATATTAATATTTCGTCGAGGTGTAAACGAATCGAGTCGTGTGTTCCTAATACGCAAGCTTGGGCTTCAGTCTTTATCGAGTGGAATCGAGCTTGGCTTATTTTTAACTCAACGATCTCACAAACGGTCTCTAGTTTGGCTTGCTTATTAATATTAACGAGTCGAGTTATAAAAGTTACATAAAACCCATATTTTCTAGCCTTAATGAGCGACTTTTCTCATTTATCACATGATCTTAGCTGAGCTCGAGCACGTGAACACATAGTTTCGTTTAACAATCCTACGTGTGAGTATATAATTAATAAGGCATGGAGTGATTAAATACTTTGGACCGAGTACCAAAATCGATTAGACTCAATGAAGGCCCCAATAGTTTTGTGAGATTGACCTTTTAAACAAAACCTTGAAAGAACTACTAAACTTCCGTGAGTCTCAAGTAGCTAGGGGTTACAAATGGACAAACCAACAGATTCGTAAGTAGTTTAAGTTAAAGATCGATTTCATCTCGAGTTTTTTCGAGCTTGAGTTATGTAGGGGTACCTCGACTTCAAACTCGAGACAAGCCAGAGCTTGTAATTTCCAAGCTCGAGTATTTGACGGGCCGTTTGACGACTATATATATGTAATTCACGTAAATACCCATGACTCAAGCTAATTAATTTCAGTCTAAAATCTAAGTGTTATCTGAAGAGATCAGTCTTCAGATAACACTGACTCCGATAGTGTTTAAAAACGTTATCTGAAGTAAAAAAAATAAAAAATAAAAATAAAATAACGTTATCTGAAGCCTTTTTTGAAGGAGTGTAGTCAATCTTTGATAGGGTTGGAGTAACAATCAAAACAAATGGTTCGAATCGATAAAGACAATCACTAATATTACTGACTCAAAAGGCATAAAACTTTTTCTAACTTGATTAGTAATCATTTTTATATATTTCGATGTATTGGGCAATGATCTCTTTTATATAATTAAAAAAGAGATAATATATAAAATTGAAGAATTTTGATTTGCTTTAATTCTTAATTTCAATCACCACAAAAGTTCTTTTTGCATAAATATAAACCAAAAATATATATATATTAAAAATGAAGGGAAAAAAAATTGATGGAATTTTTATGTCTTATCTTGAATTTTAGGTGCATAGTTCGTAGCCCACATAGTAGATTATTATTATTTTTATTTTATTTTTCTCTTAAAAAGAATATAAAAAAAATTGTCTCCTTAGTGGGAGTATTGTTTGTACACTGTTGAGATTGGGACATAACTAAGGCAAAATTCTTCGTATACTTATCTCTTAAATAAGTGGCATTTTCTCATATAATTGACATATATTGGTTATAAGCATCGATCATTAGTAGTTGAGGTCCTTTTTATCTTGTGATGAGAAAAATGCCAAGTTTCGTCGTCTCTGGATAACCACGTATTTATTTATTTGTTTTAATTAAAAGATACGATTAACAAGTAGTATCAAATTAGTACAACACCCGTGAATTACACGGGTGTTTGTTAATTTTTTTTTTAAATAAAAAATTAATGAGAAAAAAAGTAGTTGAAAATTTAAATACATTATATATATATATATATTATTATATATTTAGTATGACAATTTTTAATTGTGCGACTTATTTATGTTATATTATAATAATTTTTTTGACTTACAACATATAATTACATTAACATAAATATATCAATTGAGAAATAATTTTATTTTTCTAATGAATTTTAGTAAATATTATTATTTTTTATTATTAAAAAGATAAATATAATTTATTTATTTTATATATATACAATATGGATCTCAAATCGAAGATCATCAAAAGATGATTAATTTGATATATTATATATGTAAAATCGATAAGAAATACAAAAGTTATCGACTTTTAAAATACATTTACAATTCAATAACTAATTGTAGGAAACAAATCAATTAAAATACCTAAATTAGCTAAAAATAATATTTATGGAATGTCGGAACCTAGATTATTAATTATTAATATGTCAATATTATTTCTCCAAACCTAATTACGAAGCATGATTCTTGCCAAGTAGGATTCCGAAACATCAGAAACAGTCACATAGGCTCAGCGCATTCTGGAATTATACATAAAGGAGATTTTCAGCCGATTTAAAATTTAAAAAATTATTGTGACTGATTAATTCGTAATAGGGTTATTACTTATTTTGCGCAAAATACTACCGTAAAAGTGGACTAATTTAGACATTAATAAGATAAAAATTAAGTAACACTGCCAAAAAAGATCAGACAGAAAAAATAAAATAAAATAAAATAAAATGTGATGGGCTGATTACTTTTACTTTCTGCCTACAAACTTTTTTTTTTTTGGTTGCATTATGCAATGAAAATTTATGTGACAGCTGCACCTTGTCATCACCCAATTTTATTTTATTTTGTTATTATTATTTTGTTTCTTCATAACATGTGTCAAAGACTAGACGAATTATTATTATTATTATTATATTTATTATTATTATTTTTATTTTGATAGTTAACTAGACGAATTATTTTAATTCTATAGTTGGTAGCCGAAAAATAAAAAGGAAAAGAAAAGAAAAAGGCTGAGGAGAAAGGATAGACTAAGACATTTTATTGGGACAGAAACTCGATTAAATTGATTAAAGCCCAAGACAATAATTATTAATTAGCAAAGTAAGAGGCCGTAAACTTCCTCTTGTCTCACTTATTATGGATAATTGCGTGTTGTCTGGATTTTATGGTTTTCAAAACGTGAAGAATACGATCCTGCAAATTTGGCATCTTATAACTAATATGTACCCGTGCGATGCACGAGACAGAAATATTAAATAAATTATTTTTACATACTTTGTCCGTTTAAGTATATATAGTAATAGTATTATCATCTATTTTTCATCTCTTTTAACCAGCGTTAAGTATAATAAACAATAAGGTTATAATATATTTTGCACCTCTTAAAATCAACGTATTTTTTAGTCAAAATATTAAAATAATTAATATATTATTTCACTAAGATAGAATATATATTTATTTCTTGATATAAGAGAGAATAACAATTTTACTTATTTTTGTTCACCATAATACTTAATTATTATTTTATTATACACTTTTTGTCATATAATGTCATTATTATTTATAAAATTATAGAAGTTGTACGTCTTCTTTTTATTTTTATTTTATGTAATGAAAAATATTTAATGCACGTTTGTATTATTTATTTATGTAATCGATGTAAAATATGTAAATAAATTTAATATTAAATAGTGTATAAATATTTTACAAAATATACACATGTTTTTTTAGAATTTAATTTTGTATACTAATTAAACAATTTTGATTTAGAAAATGCCAAAAACTCGATCACTCTATGATCAAGATTTTTCTAATTCGCATTATAAGGATTTATGGTTTATTTATCATACTCAGCAATGAAAATAAATTTTACAATAATTAAATTTTAGAAATAAATCAAAATAAAAAAAATAAAAAAAATATAATCATGAGTGCCAATAATATACAAATAAATTCTAAACAATAGTTAATATGTTTCAATTTTAACTTTTTACCATTAGTAAAACTATAATGTATCTGGTCATTATCTTTTAAATGATAAACTATATTAATTTGAAAAATAATTTATTTTTTATATTTAACAAAATAAAACTTAAGAAACAAATATATTGACAAAGATTAATCCACCAACTTGATTTTGTCTGATTACTTGAAATTCTACCTAATATGTTACGATTTTCCATAAATATTTTTGGATAAAAAGTGAATATTTGTAATAAAAAAAAACTAATATTATGGTTAGAACTTAAAATATGGTTTAATGTTATCTTGACCTAAATATTATCAACATGGATCGCAAAAATCAATCTTGTAATTTATTATAATGACTATCAATGTAAGTATTACAAATATTAATAAAACAATATTTATCTTGACCAAAATATTATCAACATGAATCACGAAAATCAATCTT